CAACAATAAGCCCGCGAAGCTGTTGTCGTTCCATCCTGACAGATGACAGTCGTGACAGCTAAGTGGAATCCCGGAAAACCGTGAAACTTTGACCAATGAGAGAACAGTTTACTCGCGCGTGACTTGTATTAACAAATTTGGCCCGTTTAGAAACATTGCCGTGTGAAAGCAAACCGCACCAGGAATAAAAAGCAACATTGTAATAATTTTAATCCCCGTTTCGGAACAAAGCAATCGATCTACTGCGGTCAAGCCAGCCCCCAAGTCGAAAATCACGGTCAATCTAGCCGCCACGTTATTTCGAGGGTCGCGCATAAACTGCATATTACGGTAAAACCGTCAGAGAACTGATCTGAATGCAGTGCTCCTCTTCCAGCAAACGCGATTTTTTCCCAACACACAGTCCGTAACTGTCTGATGTTGAATACCAAAATAAAAGCCCTCCAATACTCATATTACAAAATAAGAGCAAGAATATACGCTTGCTGCATCTCCACATTCAAAAAGCTATAAAAATAAAAGTTCTAGATTGCACAGACCAGTTCCACCTCAGATTGAGAGTACATCTTGCCACAGTGTCAGCTGCGTCGTTTCAGGACTGTCTGATGTGGAATTACAAAATAAGAGTCCCGACAAACTCATAAATACGCTGCTGTATCTCTACTTTCAAAAAGCTTTAAAAATAAAAGTTCGCTGGAAGAGGAGCACTGCATTCAGATCAGTTCTCTGACGGTTTTACCGTAATATGCAGTTTATGCGCGACCCTCGAAATAACGTGGCGGCTAGATTGACCGTGATTTTCGACTTGGCGGCTGGCTTGACCGCAGTATCGATCTACAGGTGTGAAAACACCCTAAGACATTTTAAGACTTAAGGACCCGCGGCCACCCTGTAAGTAGTTATGCATTTTTAACCTAAATCACAGCAGCGTCCATCTCTGAAGGATGTAGGCTGTCAAACATACACTGTTAGCCAATCACAGCAGTGGGCGTTTACAATCCGTCACACCTATTCAAACAGAGCGTTCCAATGAGGGGGGTCAAAAAAGGACAGAAAATAGCCTATTACTTCTAAATTATGATGTATTTTTATGCAATAATCTTGATAACATTATAAGTGGACCTCTGCAAACAGTACAAAAAAAACAAAACAAAGGCAGTTCATAATCCCTTTAAAATAGATTGGTTATGCTGAGCAGCATTGGCCAAAACACACCAGTGGAGTCTGATCATCATTCCTTTGGTTGGTCCATTCAACCCACGACAACACTCACACAAGTACACACATGCCATTGCTCCCAGCCCACCCGTACTCACCCTGCACCCGAGCCCCAGTACTCACCCTGCTACAGTCCCTCCCAGTGTCTGTACTCACCCGGCCCCCATACTGAAGCATGGGCGCTGGGAGGACCCGCCCGGTCACCTCTGTCATATCATTGTGAACCACAATGCCAAACTCTTTCAGGTAAGGGTCAGGCCCGCCCACCATGTTGTTGCTTTTGACCTGAGAGGATTAACAGGAGCTTTAGTGATGAATATTTTTTAAACAAAGTGATTGGCTCTTTTAACCATAAGGCTGGACTTCCCTTTGTACTGCTGCCATATTGAGCATTGTGATTGCTCTCATTAATTTTTCAACAAGTGCCACTCACCAGTCTGCTGATCTCTTCCTGTCTGTCTGGGGCTGAGCGGGCCGTAGCTTTTATCATGGTTGAGGTCTGGTTATCTGTTAGTTTCTTTATACAGCGCTGTCCTGCCACTATGTTACAAACCTTTATGGAGGATACAAGACAGGATTCAACGAGTGCCAAGTCAAATCACATTCATTTCTGTATATGTGAAAACTGGGAAAACCTTTCATATGATTGGCACGTCTCTTACCTCAAGGGGCAGATAGGTGTGCTTCTGTTCTTGCCCCACCTGGAGGCAGGGCAAGTGGGGGTATTTGAGCTGCAGGCTGTACTTTTGTTTGAAATACTGGGCAACAGTGCACTCCATAGCTTGTCCGTTCTCGAGCTGCAAAGGAAATCTACAGAAATGTGCAGAAAATAAGAGGAAATCACTGGTGGGTATATAACAACTCATAAATAGTATTTGAAACGCTCAACCATATATTACAGGAAATTTTGCAAACGCTGATAAAAATGTAAAAAGCACTAACGTCTGATGGCTGGCTGGGCGGCGTGTGACATTGCACACACGGTACTTCCTCTTCATCTGGCCGCAGTGTGTGACCTCCACTTTCAGTCCTAAACACACGATGATATTAACTCAGCAATTCACTACACAACCACAACTGAAGCAGTCTTGGCCCTTGATGTGGCGTGATGTCACAAAATATTTTTTTTTCAAATAAAAGCTGTTCTGTTGAAAAAATTATTACAGTTTCCATAAAAATATTAAGCAGCACAACTGTTTTCAACATTGATAATAATAAGTGTTTTTTGAGCACTAAATTATATTAGAAAAATTTTATGATGGATCATGCGACACTAAAGACTGAAGTAATGGTGGCTGAAAATTCAGCTTTGCCATCACAGGAATAAATTGTATGTTAAAATATATTAAAATAGAAACCAGTAATTTTATTGTAATAATATTTCACAATAGTGTTGATTTTACTGTATATAAATGTACTGTATAATATATAAATAAATGTAGCCTTGGTGAGCATAAGAGAGTCTTCAAAAACATAACAAATAGAAATCTTACCACACCCAAACTTTTGACAGGTAGTGTAAATTAAGCTAAATGACATTATGAACCATTTTACAGTAACATGCTTCACCGCTCACCTCGGATCTCCTTGGTGAACTTGACACGTTGTGAATCTGTGAGGGGCTTGGTCTGCTCATTGATGTTCTGGATGTCCAGAACCTCACACATGAACTCAATGACAGGCTGGGCTCGGTAGAAGGCTGTAGCTGACACTGCAGTGTATGGACATTTATTTATTTATTTTTTTTTTTTTAAAGAGCAGAGTTGGGCATATTCTCAAGATGCACAAAAACACAGAAGAAAAGACTTTGGAAGATAAAACATACCATCTATGTTGAGCATCATGTTCCACATTGCTGGACGGACAGACTGATGGAAACCGAACCAAACCTCCCTCCCTCCTCCCAGTGGGTGGTAATACCCCTCTGGTGGTGAGAAGAAGGAACGACCTACTGGAGTGTACCTGTATCAAAAGGTGCGAAAGATGTTAGGCCAACCCAAAATTTGAGTTTTCACAACTCACATGGACAGATAGGATTTCAGAGACTGTGGCTTACCGCATGGAAGGCAGGTGACGAGTGATGACATCCAGAGCCTGTACAGAATCCTCCGGGACCTCGTTCAAATGACCAGACAGAGCTTCCAGGAGCATCTGCAGACTCACCACTGACACCCACTGCAGAGACACCTTGAAGGTCTGATCCTTCCCCTCACCTGGCAAGGTCACCTCCAGATCCACCTGCATCACAGGTCAAGAACGTTTATTTTTAAAAGGAGCTTTTATTCTTGCAATTAGAAGTTAAACACAAGGATCTTGTTATATTTATTAAACATCTGGGGAAACACAAAAACTGAATTTGATCATGCTTTGGTTACCCGGTCTCTCCCGATGGGTAGTGGATGTGCCGTATACATGTTCCTCTTGCCATCATAACCAGGCTGACTGTCCCCAAAGATCTGCATCTTAAAATGTCTCACCATTGTGTCCACCACCTCTCTATAGCAATAAAACACATTTGAATACATTTCCACTGCTAACTACCGGTATATTAGCAATTTTCACAAAAAACATAAAATAAATAAATACACACACTATTGTTCAACAGTTTGGGTCCGGGTCAGTACTTTTTTTTTAGGAAACAAATGCTTTTAATCGGCAAGGATGCGTGAAATTGATCAAAAGTGTCAAAGACATTTATAATGTTACAAAAGACTTCTATTTAAACATTCTATTCAAAGAATCTTAAAAAAAATATAGCAGTTTCCAAAAAAACATTAAGAAGCACAACTGTTTTTAAGATTGATAAGAAGAAATGTTTCTTGAGCACCAAATCAGCATATTAGAATGATTTCTGAAGGATCATGTGACACTGAAGACTGGAGTGATGGAAAATAAATATATGCAGCCTTGGTGAACATAAGAGTTAGATCAAAACTAGTTCCTTAATGACCTTAATTTTGAATGGTAGTGTAAATTAAATCTGACCGTCTGAATGCTGAAAGTGTTCAATTCAGAATATATAAATGGGTATTATTTTATTTGAAAGAAAACTATATGTCTTATCTGCTTGCACTCACCTGTTGACCCGGCGGGGTCGCTTTTCAGGCTTGATGTCAATGTCATAATGGTAGACGTCGATCTTGGGGATCTGCACCTGGAAGTGATTGGCCAGCAGGCGAATCGGCTTCCCCACCGTACCCAAGCCGGGCCGGCGTGGTGGTTGGAAGAGGGCAGGGGTAGGGGCAGGGGCAGGCGGGCCTGGAAGAAACAAACAATCATTTTGTTTAGATGAAGCCAAAAGGCTGAACCTTCACTTAACGTAGTGGTGCCTACCGACTGAGATCTAATCTGACATATACCATACACTGAAGTGCCCTTTTCTTTCATGGAACAACAATATGGAGAATGTCCAGCTTTCAGATTGATCAATGGGGAAGAACATACAATGACAGAGATACAAACAACTTAACAAGACGATGTGACATCCACTTTGACCTTTAACCCACCAATGGGGTAAAAAAAACAAAACAAAAAAGCAAGGAACAATAATATCCAATCATAAATGTCCTGCCTCCAAGCAGCCCCACACAAGCCATCAACAAAAAAATTGTGTGTCCACTCACAGACAGACGACAGCAGGGTCATATGGAAGGGGGGGGGGGGGAGGGG